ATCCTAACAGTTGACGACATGCTCGATGAATTATATGGCGCCTCTTATTTTACAAAGTTGGATCTACAGGCCGGCTATCATCAAGTAAGAGTAAATTCTTCCGATATTTCTAAGACTATTGTTCGTACTCATAATGGCCATTACGAATATCTCGTAATGCCTTTTGGCCTTTGTAATGCACCTTCTACATTTCAGGCCATTATGAACTCGATATTTCAACCTTACCTTCGGAAGTTCATCTTGGTTTTCTTCGATGATATTCTCGTATATAGTCCAACTTAGGATAGCCATGTGATGCATGTTGAACAAACTTTGGAGATTTTGAGGCAAAATAATTTTTTTGCCAAAACCAGTAAATGCGTATTCGGCCAGCAAGAATTAGAATATTTGGGGCATATTATCACGCCTCAAGGGGTAAAGGTGGACGACCAAAAAATTGTAGCCATGGTAGCATGGCCACGTCCTACTAATATTTCTGAATCACGTGAGTTTTTAGGCTTGACAGGGTATTACAAGAAGTTCGTCCAGCGTTATGGCATCATCACACAACCTTTTACTCACTCACTCAAGAAGGGACAGTTCGAATGGAATGACGATGCTAAAACAACATTCTCGGCTCTTAAGCAAGCAATGACCACCACTCCCATTTTGGCTATGCCTAATTTCAATGATTCCTTCACCATTGAAACCGATGCCTCAGGAGACGGGATTGGCACAATTTTATCGCAGCAAGGCAAGCCCATTGCGTTTATGAGTCGAGCACTGGGGGTTACAAAAAAATCTTGGTTAACGTATGACAAGGAAATGCTTGCAATTGTGGAGGCCATACTCCTATGGAGTCCTTATTTACTGGGCAGAAAGTTTTTCATCAAAACTAACAAGCGTAGCTTGAAGTACTTCTTGGAGCAACGTGTGGCAACACCTGAGCAATAGAAGTGGGTAGCCAAATTAATGGGCTACGACTATGAAATTACTTACCGTCCAAGCCATGAAAACTCAGCTGCAGACGCCCTCTCACGCAAGCCTCACAGCCCAGTTCTTCATCATCTCCACGTGCCCTCTGTAACCATGTGGGATGAGATTAAATGAGCTTATGAAAGAGATTCTTATATACAATTTGTAGATCAAAGGGCCAAGGCTCAACCTGAGGGGCACTACTCATGGCACCAAGGACTCATTTTATTCAAAGGCAAAGTGGTTATTCCTTCTCATGGGGTGCTACAGTCTAAACTCATACACGAGGCTCATGACACAAAAATTAGGGGGCACTCAGGAGTGTTGCGGACGTTCAAGAGACTAGCTCAACAATTCTATTGGCCTAAAATGCACCAAGCCGTCCATGAATATGTCAAGCGATGTGAAGTCTGCCAGAAGATGAAGTCCGAGACACTCCCCCTTGCCGGCCTCCTGCAACCTTTGACCATTCATTGCCAAGTCTGGGAAGATATCACTCTCGACTTCATTGAAGGCTTGCCGACATCCCACGGCCAGGATACAATTTTGGTAGTTGTGGACAGGTTAAGTAAATTCGTACATTTCTTAACTTTAACTCATCCTTTTACTGCTAAAGGTGTGGCTGAAAAATTTGTTGAAGGGGTTGTCAAATTACATGGTCTTCCTAGATCGATCATTAGTGATCGGGACCCTATTTTTATTAGCCAATTTTGGCAAGCATTCTTCCAAATGTCAGGTACTAAGTTAAAACTCAGCTCCACTTATCATCCGCAAACCGACGGCTAGACAGAAGTGGTCAATCATTGTGTAGAGCAGTACCTCCGCTGCTTTGTTCACCAATGGCCACGAAATAGAGCACCTATATTCCCTGGGCATAACTGTGGTACAATATGACGTACCATGGTGATATTTTTTGAGAACTTTTTACTGTAGAAACCTAAAACTGAAAACTCGAATCAGTAAAATGAATGATACCTAAATGTTAAATCTTTGTCTTCTCTTCTTTTATTTTCTTTTTCAATTTCTATACTATATGCCCTAGCTCAAAGTATACTGTAAGAATACGCAAATATAGTTTAGCTGCTAAATAATTTTGCTCAAATTATATAATTAGATTTTACACAAATATTATGGGAAATATATGCACCCGCTTTTAAGTAAAGGTTTTTGGTATAACTGTCTCTTAAATTTGTCGTTAGTTTAGTAAATTATTTTTTAAACTTTTAATTTTAGTAAGTTACCTCCCAAACTTATAAATTTGTTACAGTGTACCCCATTTAACTAAATTTGCTCAAAATTTTTATTCGAATTAAAGGATTAAAAGTTGAGATATTGAAATATTTATATTATATTTGAATTTAAATGTTGAAATTTTTAGTTGAACATGTTTTTTTGACACTAATGTAACACGGTCGTCGTTAAAATGAGATATATTACAATAAGTTTACAAATTGAAATGATAACTTGTCGAAATTAAAAATTTAGAGAATAATTTACTAAACGGTGACAAATTTAAAAGGTAAAGTGTTAAAAACACTTAAGTAATATCAAATATGTATGTCATTGTAGTGTGTGGGGCCGGCGAAGCCAATGGAAAACGCATTAATGTCCAGTGCCGACGCCTGCACTGAAAAAACAAATAATAACTGGTTGATTAAGAAACTAAACCATGAGAAAAACACAAATTATTATTATTATAGATGAGACAGAAGTACTTGATCTTCTTCAGTTTCTAGAAGGTAAATTATATCGTCTATTAATTAAATTACACATCAAGGGACTCAGAAACAAATAAGCGCGTACAAATCTAATCTTGTTTTTCTTGTTTTTAATTAGTAAACTATTATTATTATTTGTTTGATCGGTTAAGTCCAGAACCCCTTATTAACTTTTGTGATAATCATAATGTAGTAATTATCACATCTCACACGCATACGCATGCTCAGTAAAGTGAGAATAATAATAACTGAAACTAATGCTAATAATGATCATCAACCAAGGAAAACGTACGTATTCAAATCTATATCTTATAAACATCTGTGCTTATGCACCGGAAAAAAAATTAATAGCCCGTTTCGATTTAAACATAAACTCCGTAATAAAAATTGTTCAATTAAGTTCAAACTTTAAAACAAATGGGTCATAAATAGCGATACATAGTACAACTATTAATGAACAAAATTTTTTCTATTCTTAAAAATGCTATAATTTTTTCATTTTAATACTGATTGAGATTATTTTTTTTCTATGCGTTGACAACGAAAAAACGAATAAAACCTCACTCATATACCCTATTAAAATTTTTTATCACCATTGAGTTTTTATTAAAATACTATCTAAATACAAATTCAAGTTTTGACTCACTCAAACACAAACTCAAAAAGATTCTTATCTCAAACCATAACTCAAATGTACACAACCAAACACAAACTCAAGTTACAACTTCAACTCAAGTTATAACTCAAATTCAACTCAAAAACTACACTTAAATCACACTCCAAAAGAACATATCCTTGATATTGCAAGCCTTAAAGAAAATTGTACTTAAATATGAAATAAATCATTTCTATACGTATGCTTCACTTATTTAAAGAGTACACAATTATGACTCCCGTTTTCAGAGCTTAAGAGAGAGAAACCCAAAGCATTTAATTTCTAGGCTTAAATAATAATATATCAATATCATGTTAACAGAATTCATGTATCAAACATTAAATGTAAAAAGTGACAAAAGTCTCACTAGCTCGATAGGAGTTGTTTGTTCTCTTTGGTTTCTTGCATACCTGCGTGCTTAACTGCTTTTAAACATCATATTTCTTTTTATTTTCTTTTGATGAGATTGGTGAATCATTGTGGTATAGAGTTAAGTTACAGGTGCTAACTACCAATCTAGCTAGTTGGAATGTCTTAATTCTCCCCTGCCTATAATAATGGTTCTCACCTGATTTATTTCCAAAAAAAAAAAAACCTATTGTTATTACGAGGTTTCAAACATATTTATCAATTTCTTTAAATTAATTCTTATATTTTTCTGTTCTGGAATTTTATAAATGATTAGATGAACGAAATTTTATAAATGATTAGATGAACGATTAAAACACATACATACAGATCTTATTCCAAACAGGAAACCGCTTCATACTACAAGAAAACTTAAATTTAGCTACAACGTACATTTATAGCTATATGTCAAAATTTTGTAGCTAAAAAAATTAGTTACAAAGTTTTTATTAGTAGCTAGGTCGTGGCTACATCGTCAACACTAAAAGTGCTTAGCTACAAAAATAATTGTGATTTTGTAACTAAATATACTACCATTAGCTACAAAATAAGTTTTGTAGATAATGTGGTACTTTTAGCTACGAATCTTTGTCACTAAAGACTAACAACTTTGTAGCTAATTTGACAAATTTGTAGCTAAAAGCTTGCCTTTTAGCTACAAATCAATATTTTGTCACTAACTTGGACTGAGAATTAGTGACAAAATGTTAATTTTGTGGCTGAATCATACTTTTGTTAAAAATAAAAAAAATAAAAAATGAATGAATTGCATTATTTATCATGCCAAATCTCAATATCCAATACAATCACAATCAATCTAATACTAACATATTCCAAGTATATGTAATAAGCGGTTACATTAATAAATGTAGGGCTGACAATTCGTGTTTGCGGGTCGTATTCAGGCCGACACGATTACAGCATGACACGATTACAGTGAGCACGAACACGACACGATTAATAAACGTGTCAGAAACCCAAACACGAACTGTTAATAACACGATTAACACGACACGACACGCGAACACGATTACTAAACGTGCCGTGACAAGCCAACACGAATAAAACACGTTTATGACCCGTCAAAATAATACTGTTCAAGAAATTTAAAAACAGCACAATTGGTAGGGAAAAAACGTTGAAATTGAAAATAATGTTTCATGAAAATATATTTAAATGTAAGTTCCATTATCATCACCTTCTTTTACATCTCCCAAGTGAGACCAATACAAAATGTATGCAAGTAATACAAATCTTAACCCCAACTACAAGAATTCAGTTGCATTACTACTTGCACAAACTGTTCTATTATCATCACATTCTTTTACATCTCCCAAGTAAGACCAATACAAAATGTATGCAAGTAATACAAATCTTAACCCCAACTACAAGAAGTCAGTTCCATTACTACTTCCACAAATTGTTCCATAGACAAAACCATTATAACCGCTTAAATAGAGACATTTTCCCATCATCCATTCACAGAAGAAAACTACAAATCAGTCAATAACAACCAAAATCAGAATTTCCCAAAAAGAAAATGACTTTCTGGGCGACCAAACACAAGGTAAAAAAAAAGCGCATACCTTGAGCAATCCCAAGAGCCAAGACCTTGGAGACCTCCTCGCCGATCAACCTCTTCTTCCAGTTGCTTTAACCTATTCATGGAAAAAGAAAACATTTTATTAATGAAATGAAATTTATAGCTTAGGCATGCCACAAGGAAATTCTTGTTACCTTCCATTGCATTTGAGGTGTTGAGGTTGTGAGAATTTTGAGATGAACCAGTAGTGGGCTCATTGATATCCAAACTAAAAACATCTTCAGTATCATCCATAGCTTGACGAATCGATTTGTTATTTTCAACACAAAATAAATAACTTCTATGGTTAAGACTTAAGATAACATAAGCTAAGACAGTAAATAAACACAAAAAAAAAAAAAACAAATATACCTTTATCTCCAAATAGCCAATCCCTAGTACACACAAATGCCTCAACTACGTCAGGTTTAAGTGAACTCCTATATTGATCCAATACTCGTCCTCCAACACTAAAGGCAGATTCATATGCTACAGTAGATATTGGAATACTTAGGATATCACGAGCCATGTAAGAAAGCTCCGGATAACGAAACTGATTTCCTTTCCAAAATTCAAGAACATCCAACTCAACACTCCCTTGTACTCTTGGCTCATCCAAATAAACTTCTAACTTTGATTTCTGCATAACAGTTTGCTCTTGGTTTTCAAAGTTGTTGAACTCCTATAACTACAAAGATATAAAACAAGATGAAAAAGACAAATAAAGAACAATTAGTATTCATCAATGAATGTTAAATTAACAAAATCAACATATAAATATTCATAAACATAGTTACCTTCAATACTTTGGTTTGCCTCTGTAAAAACTTTTGTGTTGGGTTTTTAGCAATAGGAGTAGGAAGTGAAGTCACAACATTTATTGTAGAAACCTTGCCCTTAGAGTATTCAGCAAACAACAACTCCAAATTTCTCTTAACTTCTAAAAATTGAGGTGACCCTTTCATTCCATAAACATTGCCATAAGCATAATCTACAAAATTCAACTTGTAACGAGGATCAAGCACTATCGCAATTGCCAATATCAAACTGAAATCTTTCCAATACTTCTCAAACTTGGTAAGCATTGCTTTTGCCATAGCAGACAAATATGCATCTTCACTTGTCTCGGATTTCTTCAATGACAAATAACTTGTGTACACAGTTGGAAAGTACAAGTTTGCAGTGGCGTATTTAGATCCCGAAAAAACACAAGTGATATTATAAAAGGGTTCCAAAAATTCACAAATTTTCTCAGCCTTTTCCCAATCATATGGATTAGGACAGTCCTTGTAATTAGAATCACTCAATTCTAAATGACAAAATGCTCGTCGATAATACAAGACACTGTCAAGCATGAGGAATGTTGAGTTCCATCTTATAGGTACATCTTGCCTCAAACCTCTCTTAGAATCAAGACCCACATGATTCACACACTCTAAAAACTTCTTCTTTCTAATTTGGGACCCTCTTACATATTTCACACTCTCACGAATCTTTTTAACCACTGAATCAATATCTCTCAACCTCTCTTGCACTACAAGGTTCAAAACATGTGCACAACAACGAATATGAAAAAAAGAACCACAAAAAATAAGTGCATTGTTTTCAATTAACTGATTCTTCAACAGATCAACAGACACATCATTAGCAGAGGCATTGTCCAAAGTAAGAGTGAAAACCTTGTATTCAATTCCCCACTCACACAATAATGCATAAAGCTTTTCAGACAATGCAATACCAGTATGTGGTGATGGCATGAAGCAAAAATTCAAAATCCTCTTTTGCAATACCCAATCTTTATCAATAAAATGGGCAGTTAATGACAAATATCCATCTGTAACTATGGAAGTCCACAAATCAAATGTCAAACAAATTCTACCAGGGCTAAACTCCAACATAGATTTTATTCTTGCTTTTTCCCGAGAATACATTTTTTGGACATCTGCCTTTAAAGTATTTCTAGTTACCAAAGTTATCTCAGGATGCAAATATTGGTAAGTCACCCTAATAGATTCATATTCAACAAAGGAGAATGGAAGGTCATGCAAAATGATTGCTGTTGTTATCAATTCATGAAAGTGTTCAGCATCAAACCTTTTTACACTCAATGCTAAAGTCCCTTTGTCTTGTGATATCAATAGTTGGCCCACGTCACGCGTGTCTCTACGTACACATGATTGCATGTGACGTCGCATGCTTCCATTCTCATTCTTGCGCTCCTGATCTGCACCCATTGGAAGCCTTTCAAACTGGTTCCAAACAACAGAAGTATGCTTCCTTTTACGTTTAGAAATGGTGGTCGGATTCTTGGAATTAGCTTCAGGCTCAACATCCGCCTCCAATGCAATAGGTGCATCACCAATAATAGCAGCGGATGCGGTAAAGCTGTCTGACTCTACATTTACTCCAACACCATCTTGCAAATCATCCATCTCCAAATCATATCCAATGCACAAGAGAAAAGAAAAAAGTTTGAAGTAAAAGGGGAAAAAAAACAAACAGAAAGAAAGAAAAAGTTCTTGTTGTTCACTTCTCCTCAGCAAATAAGTTTGTTTTCCCCTTTCATTTATGGAAACCATTTTATGGAAACATGTCCAAAGAGACAATGTCATACATATTCATCATCCTTCATGTGTCAATTACTTTAAAAAGAAAAGAAGACAACCACTAGTAAATTAGGCTTAGGCTTTAAAAAAACTAACATGTTCTTGTTTTTTTTTTTTTCCCTCTCTCACTCTTTTTTTTCCTCTTCACATTTTCAAGGATAAAGACTTTCACTTGGAAAGTGATAGCCCATGCCTAAAAATATTCATAGTCAGCACCACTGTCATTATGCAAAGGAAAAAAAAAAGGTAGTGGCCAAGGCGCCAAGCCAAGCCAACACTACATTCCAAGACACCTACCAAATCTTCTGGGTTTGTCCTTGCTGGTGGGACAAGCAAATTATTTCATATAGGATGAATTAGGGCAAATTTACATTTTTACAAGAAAGGAAATACGCAAAATATCATATTGCAATGAATTACACTTAAAAAATAAAAAAACAACTCAAGAAGTAATTATTCCTAAGCAGGCAATTCATCAATGAAAGGGACACCTATGCAGTCAAATTATTCCTTATCATATCAATGAGTCAAATTATTTGCAACATCATGTGTAATGTGTCTCACACCTATGCAGGCAATTCATGTGGGGTTTGAATATTTGATGCACACCAACCAAATCAAGATTTTAAGAAATTCCGTGGGTTTGAATCTTTTAAATAAGTTCGTTTTCCCCTTTCATTTATGGACTAACAATAAATACCAAATTACTACTCATAAATTTCCACCATATATCAATGAAGCTTTCCCCTTTCAATGGTTGGCTTCTCCAGAATAACAAAAAAATCAATCATGAAAAGATCATATGAATGAAGTGGAGAACATACCGGGAGAAATGTAGAGTTTGCGACCACTTCCGGTGTTGGAGACTCTGAGAACAAATCGAGCAAACTAGTCAAGTCTAACTACAAAGTCAAGAACAACTTTCAAAACAAAATCGAAAGTGAAAACCAGCCAAGTCTAACTACAGTCGAAGAATCAAAACAAAAAAAAAGAGAAAATGAAAACTCCTAAGGGCTTTACTTGAAACGGAATCCAAATGGTCGTTCGCCCCACAAAATCAATCTCAATGGTGAAGTCAAAGGCTGAACCTGAAACGGCGCGGGTGAGGACTGAGGACTGGGGCGGTGGCCGGTGAGGACTGAGGCGGTGAGGACTGAAGCGGGTGAGGACTGAGGACTGAGGCAGGTGAGGCCGGCGGGTGAGACTTAAGAGACCGTGAGGCGTGAGATAAGACTCGAGAGAATGAGAGAGAGAACTGAAGCAAGGAGGGAGTCAGGTTAGGGACGGCCGCACAGGGAGAGGGGTTAGACACTTAGAGTCTTAGACTTAGGGTTTTCCGGTTTTGTCTTAAAAAATATATATATTTGGGCATATTAAACGGGCCGGTCCGGGTCGTGCCGTGTCGGCCCGATAATGGCACGTTTAATTAAACGGGTTAACGTATTAAACGGGCTGGCACAAATCCAACCCGTTTATTTTCGTATTATTCGTGCCAACCCGTTAACGACCCAATTAATAATCGTGCGGTCCAAACCCATTTATCTCATGTCGTTTTCGTGTCGTTTCATCGTGTCGTGTCTGAAATTGCCAGCCCTAAATAAATGTTCACACACGCTTCTACATATCAATTATCACGTCTCTTTGAATTTGTGCTTCAAGCTCTTCAACCTTTATTTGTTGTATCCAATACTGTCCCAAAAGTAAAAAATTTACTTGTTAGACCCCCGGTACGGAAGGTTTATGTTAGGAGGGCCAAGAGAGGAATTGAGATGGGCCTAGGCCCAAATGAGATGGATCAGGAAGGGAGAGTGGCAAGCACGAAGGGCCCATATGGGGAGGTGCGCGACATTAGTTGGATCGGTGGTTATATGGGGAGCATCAAGGAAGGGGAGAGGTATCGAATTTGGTGCTAGAATTGATCACTGGGAGGTTGTGGGATTCCTCGAAAATCCCTCTTTATCTTTCTTTCCTGTATTCTTCCATTTCTGGTATTCTTACTTCGTTTTCACTATCTTCATAGGTATGATGAAGCTCTTGATGTTATTGGAGTAATTTGAATTCAATAAAGAAGGCTATTGCCACTTTTCAGTCAACTTTTGTTAGCTAAATTCAGCAGTAGTGACTAGAATCCTAACATTTGGTATCAGAGCCAGCGATCCATGGCTCACAGTGCGTCGGCGACAAGCACCACGGAGCGCATCTCTGGTTTGGAGGGTGACCTCGAGTCGATCAGGGAGATAGTACGTTTGATGGGAGCGATGGTGGATCACGTACCACAGCTACAGGAGGACGTGGAGGCCTTGGGAATCCAGATCGGGGACGTACAAGGGTCCCTTCTCCAACTAGAAACTATGTTGGGTCACCACCTCGAGGCCCAGCCGCCGATGCCCTAGCGGCAGGGAGAGGGACGCTGCTTCGGTGCATGGAGGGAAGGGCCCTCGGCTTGTTCCAGTGGCTGGATTCACAGGTGCCATTTGCCGGTTGGCGCAACTTAAAGGCAACTATTCTCCACAGAGGTTGAAGAAGACAAAGAAGATGATGAGGAATCGGCAGAGGCGGTGGAGCCACCCACAGAAGAGGTCAAAGGGGTGGCAGGCCTCTCTCTCAATTCACTGATAGGAATTTCGTCTTCTAACACCCTGAAGCTGAAAGGGACCATTGGAAGCCGCGAGGTGATGGTTTTGGTGGACAGTAGGGCTTCACACAATTTCCTATCTCTAAGGGTCGTGGGAGAGCTGCAAATTCCCATGGCAACTACGGGTAGCTATGGAATTCTAGGCAACGGCGCCTGTTTTAAACGACAGGGAGTGTGTAAAGGGGTAGAGCTCAGGATCCAAGGGTACAAGGTTTTAGAGGATTTTGTTCCTTTTGAATTGGGGTGTGCTGAGGTGGTTCTGGGGGTAACATGGCTACAAACGCTGGGGGAGGGCAGGGCCGACTGGCAAAAGTTTACCCTGAAATTCAAGTCAGACGCGGGGTGGATTTGTTTAAGGGGAGACCCAACGTTGAAGTTGGAGCCAGTGAGTTTACGGACCCTATCCCGGACATTCCACGGGGATATGGCAGGGGCGTTGTTGGAAATATATGCACGAAGGAGGGGTGGGTGACGAGTTCCAAGCCAGGGAACCCGAGGCTTTACAAGAGGTCTTGGCCCAGTTCGCTATTGTGTTTCGAGGCACCGAATGGGTCTACCGCCAAACCGGGCACGGGATCACCAGATCGTTCTCAAACCAGGGGCAGAACCGCCTAACATTCGGCCGTACAGGCACCCCCAAGTGCGGAAGAGCACCGGTACCCCCAAGTGCAGAAGAGTGAGATAGAGAAGCTCGTGGCTGAAATGTTGGCTTCTGGGGTCATTAGGCCGAGCAGTAGCCCTTTCTCCAGCCCTGTTCTGTTAGTCAAGAAAAAGGACAGAAGCTAGCGTTTTTGCGTGAATTATCGCGCCCTTAACCATCTCACAGTACCGGATAAATTCCCAATTCCCGTCATCGACGAACTTTTGTACGAATTACATAGGGTGGCAATATTTTCGAAATTGGACTTGAGGGCAGGGTATCATCAAATTCGAGTTAGAGAATTTGACGTGGAAAAGACTGCATTCCGAACGCATGAGGGGCACTACGAATTCTTGGTCATGCCGTTCGGCTTGACAAACGCCCCCGCCACGTTTCAAGCGCTTATGAATAAGGTTTTCCAGCCTTTACCTGCGCCGTTTTGTATTGGTATTCTTTGATGATATCTTGGTTTATAGCCGCACTTGGGAGGAGCATCAGGAACATCTCGCTGCAGTCCTAAAGGTCGTAAGAAATGAGCAGTTATTCGCAAACCGGAAGAAATGCGCATTAGGGCAGCAACGACTGGAGTACTTGGGGCATGTGATCTCGGCCACTAGGGTGGCGGCTGATCCGGCTAAGATAGAGGCCGTTGTGGCTTGGCCCACTCCCAAGAATGTCTGTGGGGTTAGGGGCTTTCTGGGGCTAGCCGGTTATTACCGGCGATTCGTTCGCAACTTTGGACAGTTGGTGAGACCCATGACCGAACTACTCCGACGTGGAGAGTACAAATGGACTCAGGAGGCAGGGGCCGCATTTGACGCACTTAAGCATGCCATGACCACCCTACCGGTCCTTGCAATGCTAGATTTCTCGAAGCTCTTCGTGGTGGAAACGGACGCCTCCGGCTCGGGTTTGGGCGGAAGGTTTATGTTAGGAGGGCCAAGAGAGGAATTGAGATGGGCCCAGGCCCAAATGAGATGGATCAGGAAGGGAGCGTAGCAAGCACGAAGGGCCCATATGGGGAGGTGCGCGACATTAGTTAGAGGATCGGTGGTTATATGGGGAGCATCGAGGAAGGGGAGAGGTATCGAATTTGGTGCTGGAATTGATCACTGGGAGGTTGTGGGATTCCTCGAAAATCCCTCTTTATCTTTCTTTCCTGTATTCTTGCATTTCTGGTATTCTTCCTTCGTTTTCACTATCTCCAGAGCTATGATGAAGCTCTTGATGTTATTGGAGTAATTTGAATTCAATAAAGAAGGCTATTGCCACTTTTCAGTCAACTTTTGTTAGCTAAATTCAGCAGTAGTGACTAGAATCCTTACTATTGTAGCTCCCACAACTAAGCTTGGATAATAAATAAAGACAACAAATTAGAAAATAGCCAAAAATACTAGTTCTATATTACTTGGTTCTAAATCCTTACACAAGTCACTAGCATGGAAGAAAGAGGTCCTGTAACCAAAAGAACAAGAATATTCAACTTCTCAACTTCTCAAAGATGTCTTGAAACCAAAAATAAAGTTCTTGTGACTTGTAGATAAGACTAACCGATCAATCTCTCCCCTGTCTGTGATCTCTTTTATTGGCTTGTAACTTCTCCCACCTCTCTGTTTAAGATAGCCATGGAAACTGTTTCTAAGAGAGAATGATTCCTTTGAATGTCTCTCTGTCTGTTGTCTGTTTTAAAGAGTTGCACCGTATTCAAAAGGACAAATAGTAAATTGTACCATAAAAACTAGTGATCTAAAGCCATGACAAGTTATATAAGCTATTACTATATAGTTGATATTGCCAAAGCTAGCTTCCCAACATACGCACAAAATATGCAGATATGGGTAAAACTTCTACCTCCACGCAAGCATGAGAATCATGATTCTTGGTGATAATTTTTTTTTTTTTTAATATTCAAAACATTTTTTTTTTTTAAAAGAGAAGAAAAGAGAAGATCAAAGTCTACTGAGTAAGGAAATCAGATGTTTTTTTTTCAACAAAACATGGTTAAAACTTAAAGGCCAAAAAGAGTAGATTTAAAATGCTGTTTTAGAAATTCCTATATAGAAGTAAGCAGAATAAAGATCAATCCGAATTCCAAAACTTATATCCTCTATAGTGTTACATTAGATTAGCAGAAAATTATGAAGTTTTGAAAGTTCTAAAACGTACCTGTTAACGTCCAGTACCTGTTAACGTCGAATTCAACCAATCATCATTGCGCATTTCATCCATGCACTTTCATTTAATCTAATATCTGTCAATTCAGTTAGAAACTTGTATCAGCTTGTTTAAAGGTACAAAACAGTATTACAAGGTGTACTGCTGGTCAGTTTTGAGCATCAGAAGAACAGTTTGAGCACCAAAGACATAAATGAAATGTCACACTACCAAGAATGTAATTCTATTATTAGCATACTATTCCTACATTGGTAGCGATCACATCATATCATACATAGTTGCGTGTATCAAAATTACCTCAGGAAAGTTGGCAAGTTTCGCTGGGTTTGGCCTGCCCATAACAAAAATCTAAGCTTTTTCCCCACTGTAGTTATCAGCTTTTTCATCTGATTACTTATGTGAAGACAAAATCAATCATGCCTTTCTCCCTCTACTGTTTCGGGAACATCACCACTTGCAATCCGCTGAGCAAGTCCCTCGGCTATTGCTGTTCTTCCAACACCAGGCTCTCCAATTAAGGAGGGCTTATTTTTTGTTCGCCTGCCTAAAATTTGAACAACTCTTACTATTTGTTCTTGCCTTCCAATAAGAGGATCCAACTTACCCTAAAAAGAAGCAAGCTATAGAACTTACAAAACAGTCCATAACATGAGAAGCGCAAAGCTACAATCTTGTAACACATCAAAATTCTTATTAAGAAAAGAAAAACCTCTTCTGCTAATTAAAAAAATACAGATAACAAGCATCATGTCATTCAATTACCACACAGATTATATACAACACACATATAATAAGCATCATTTCATTGAATTACCAAGCCAGACAATAAATTGGAAGACAAGTCTTGCCTTGAAGACCAAAAGTGGATTTATAGACAAACCCAGATAATAACCAAGCTTTGGAATTGCTCGTGAAAAAAAAAAAAAAAAAAAAAAACAAAACCTGGAACATATATTCACATCATGCATCAGAAAGCTAAGTAGTCTAGAAGTGAAAACAAATAACAAAAAAATATATATGTATTTTGTATAGGCGACTAACCCTAATTAGGAAACAAAATAAACAGGGTATACGACTAATAAGAACCAAGAAAAGAATATTATTGAAAACAAGAACTAGACTCGATTACACGATAGATTTACAGACTTTCGAGAGGTTTGCTAGCTCTCCCAAGGGTTTCCCCAGTTTACTCTAATCAATCCCTAATCCCCCCCCAAATGCTAGTACCTTTTTTTATATTACTAATACCCCTCTAACAAACTGCTGGCAACTAGTAATACTAATACCCCTCTAACAAACTAACTACTGACAGCTATTACTACACTATAACAACTTTTACTATCAAACTAACTACCCAAGATCATCATTAACGAGTCCTATCATTACTCCCCCGGCAAAAAACACCTTGTCCTCAAGGTGTTGATTAGGTAATTGCACTTGAATGATGCCATCTTCTTCCCATTTCAATGCACGTGAACCTTGGAACGTCAAAGGTAGCAGCAATTCCAAGTTTGGCCTTTGTGAAATTTCCAATTCCAATTCCTATCACGCCAATTCCTTTCAACCCCCCTTCTACCACCCCGCTCTTTGTAGATCCAACCCCAATCGGACTGAAATAAGAAGACCCAGTCCAAATGTCACTGGAATTGTCCTTAATCGCGTTGGAAGTGTGCAGCCCAGCTTTGACGGCATCAGAACCAACCCAAATCACGCCGGATTTGAGAAGCCCAGCCCTTGGCTCGCCAGAATATGCCCTAATCGCACCATAATCACGAAGCCCAACCCCAATTGCGCGGAAATCAGCCTCAATCGCTCCAGAATCACGGCACCCAGTCCAAATCCGGCCAGTATTACGGAACCCGGCCCAAATCTTGCTGGAACTCACGCCGCATATCCCTGACCCAGCCCCAGTCACGCTAGAATTCCAAGACCCAATCCTAATTGCTCCGAAATCATCCCTCACGACACTTGGATTCCAAGTCCCAGCCCCCAAATCACCAAAATTGATCTTAATCACGTCGAAATTGCAAATCCCAGCCTTCATGGCGTCAAAACTAGCCCCAAGTACACCGGAATTGTGAATCTCATCGCTGACAGTGCTTGATTCCATCCAAACTCCACGCAAATCTTCTGGGTTAGTCATCGGATCGTTGTTTTCCCCCTCCACTGGTGAACACAGACACGAATTCAACTTCTTGAGTTGTTGCCCACTCAGATCTAATCGCAGATTGTCACACAGACCAGTTCGTAGCTCATATGGCGTTGATCGTTGGCGGTGTTCATCGGGTTCTAATCACGTTTCCTCTAGCGTCGCTCGTCGGATTCGGTCTCCCAGATTTGGTCGCGAACCTCCAAAAAGCCCAAGATTTGAAACTCTAGGATCTGAAAACCTAGATTTCAACTCCAGATCGCCGTTCGTCTTGCAATCTGATAGCTCTTGACGTCGATCTACTGCTATGGTCGACGCCGCCGCCGCTCCAAATCTCACCTCCATCCTCTTTAGAAGTTGCTCCACGTTTTGAACCATGGCTTCAACCTTCGCAATAGAACAGTTTCCCTTTGCTGGTTGGAAAAATTGAAACAAATGCGTCTTAAAAGCACTCCAACAAACGAATGGCCGCCTTCTATCCTCCCATTGAAACCACTGAAGAGCTTTACCTTCCATGAACTCCCCAATGAACATCACTTTTTCTTGCTCTGAAAATCGATTTTTCAAGAAATATTCTTCTACTCTTGCTATCCACGCATCCGGATCTTCTCTGGAAAACATTGGCTCCTCTAATTACTGCCAACGTCCATATGTTCCCTCCATCTTCTCCGAATTTCGCCCAAGAAAGTGCTCTGATACCAATTGATAAGAACCAAGAAAAGATTATTATTGAAAACAAGAACTAGACTCGATTACAAGATAGATTTACAGACTTTCGAGAGGTCTGCTAGCTCTCCCAAGGGTTTCCCCAGTTTACTCTAATCAATCCCTAATCCCCCCCCCCCCCCAAAAAATGCTAGTACCTCTTTCTATATTACTAATACCCCTCTAACAAACTGCTGGCAGCTAGTAATACTAATACCCCTCTAACAAACTAACTGTCGATAGCTATTACTACACTATAACAACTTTTACTATCAAACTAATTACCCAAGATCCCCCCCCAAAATGCTAGTACCTCTTTCTATATTACTAATACCCCTCTAACAAACTGCTGGCAACTAGTAATACTAATACCCCTCTAACAAACTAACCGCCGATAGCTATTACTATACTATAACAACTTTTACTATCAAACTAATTACCCAAGATCATCATTAACGAGTCCTATCAACGACAAAACCAAATATAAAGATCAATTGCTTTGTACCTCATCTCCTTATATTGCTGCTTTTACAACTCAAAAATCGAAAGAACAAGATCTGTTTGCACATTAAACTCGTGATTTCAGACCCGTGGATAAACAGAGTATAAAAATTGAGTAAAAACAAAACTTAAATAAATAGCTTAAAACTTTAATAGGCTGACATTATAACTAGTTCTGGTCTAAAATTACCTGAGAGCTAATATAAAGCTTTCATCAAGCTTTTGGCAATGAGAGCCTCAACTTATTCATCACTTGTGCCATCTTCTCTGCAAATGAGACAAAAAAAAAAATTGGAAAAATGAGTAGTTAGCACTTAAAAAAGCCAATAAATCCAACAAAAATGATACCCAAATAGGAGCTAATATCATACCTGCTCAGGTGCACCTTTGCTTGCACACCATTTTTCCTTCACTGTCAATGTATGTGAGAGCTGTGCGCTTATCAATCAGGTTGAATGGAAGGAAATGCACAGTGTGAATACCGGCTCCGGCCTATTCCATGACCAAAAGAAGTGACTAGTAGAATATACAAAGGAAATAATGATCAATAAGACAATAACATCAAAGAAAGTCATTCATCATTGAAATAAATACCTCCTTTGGAACAGGAAGCAAACTTGCAAACAAATATGAAAAAGTCTGGTGGGTACCTCTATGAGATTTTTGTCAGACTGAAAGTTTGTTCAATGTCAAAATTCTATTTTTGTCACTGCAAAGCACATCCATCCTGCTATTTCTTCTATAGCCGTCATTCTATGATTCTAGGTCCAAAAGAAAAATGAAAACAGAAAAAAATAATAATAATTGAGCAAAAATCCACAACGTAGAGAGAAAGAAATTACTTGAACACATAATTCCTAATACTTATAGATGCCTAAATCTAATTCCCAAATTAACAAAGATTGTGCTTAACACAGTCTCTACATTTAATCAATCAGGTAGATCTTCTCATTTGATTTTTATCTGTTTCCGTTCATTATTTAACCAAAACCCTATAATCTAAACAAACAACAATAAAAAAAGGACCAGGTAAGATCAAATGAATGCATTAAAATCCACCTCAAGAGAGTAAGAGCAAGATTGACGCAAAACTTACTCGTACGGACCCGCAAAATTTTTGCGAATAGAATTACAAACATACCAAATCAAGCAAATTCTTGTTTTCAAAACTCAAACAGAAATTGAATTCATCTAAAAAAAAAAGTTCCGAAATTCTAAACAGGAGAACTACGGAGAAATCGCATCAAGAATTTATAGCACCAAAGTTCAAATTCTACATAACAAAGATAATTAACCCCAGGCGAGATCCAATTAGCGCCAAACAAATACAATACGAGAAAGGACATTTGGAAAAAAACAACAACTAACCGGCGTCACGTAAGGCGGAGGCGTAGTCGTCGGAGAGAGCGCGGGCCCACCGCGAGAGGCGTGAGGCGAGGGAATGGCGTTCGTCGATGTCGCGAGGATGAGGGAGTCTCATCCTTAGGGACGAGGGTTCCATCGAGGAAGACATCTTCGTCGACGAACTCTTCCTCCTGCGAGGCCGCTTGGTGCTTCGAACGGTTCACCGGCGACGGCTGCTGCGACAGTGAGCGTTTTATGCAAATGAGCATTGTCCGACGAGGAAGAACGAGAGAAAAGCCAACAATTGTTTGCGAAAACTCCGGTCAATACTCAATCTGGTCCGACGAGAACGATAGAGAGCATACTCCGGCGATTTTTGGTGAAAACTCCGGCGATTGTCCGGTGAGAGAGAGTCGAGAGGAGAGGGCGTGAGGGAAAGAGAGAGAGAGAGCAGAGGGTGAGAGAAATAGAGAGAGATAAAAAAGAAATCTCTGATTAAGAAAAATGATTTTATGAGTATTTTAGGTCCTATTCATTTCACCGTTTTGAGTTTAAAATTTGAGTTTTGTTATATTAAAAAGCTCTTAAAAACAGTCACATTTAATTTTTTTACTACAGTAAAAAATTTTTAAATAAAATCACATCGCAACTCAAATTAACGAACTAAACGGGTCCCAAAATTCTGAATAATAACCACAAAATGCTTGCAAAAACTAAATTTTTGTTTTGTCAAAATTCTAATTCTAATTATTTGACAAATTTTAGCTACTAAATATAATTTGTAACTAATAATTAATATTTAGTCACAAAATTTATTTTTTCACAAAAACTTATTTTTAGCTACAAATTTACATTTGTAACTAAAATTTTTGTAGCTAAAACTACAATTTCTTGTAGTGTCATTTGGAGAGGACAAATATTTTGTTACATAATTTGTTGGGACTTGGGGTGAAAACAAAAGGTGCAAAAAGGTTTATTTCGAAAAAATATTGTTAGTAGGAATTTTTTTATTATTTTTTTATGAATATTTTAAGGTCTCATTCATTTTACCGATTTGAGTTTAAAATTTGAGTTTTATTACAGTAAAAAGCTCTCAGAAACAGTCACATTTAACTTTTTTACTACAGTAAAAAATTCTCACATAAAATCACATTTCAATTCGAATTAAAAATTTAAATCAGCGAAATAAATAAGCCCTAATCACATCTACTCAATTTTAAGCCGTAGTTGAGATCTCGAAGTTGGGGACATGTTACGTGGGCCCCACCCAATATATACATATTTTTTAGTATGTTTTAGCAGCTCTATTGCTTAAATTTAAATTCAATTTGTTTGAATTTGTTAGAATGAATTTCTTGAATTTTGTTTCTAAATACTGGAAGGTTTTCATCATGTGAAAAGACAAATTTTGGGTGAATTTAGCTTATGAAGACTAATATGACGATCGAAACCCTTGAAGTGGATAATATAACATAAATTAACAATCATATAATTGCTTAGAAAGATATTGAAAGCATTGCTTTAAAATGAAAATCTATAGGAAAAATTTTGATGTTTTAAAATGAAAATCTATAGGAAAAATTGGTGGGTCCGAAAATTTTGAGAAAAGATCAACAAAAATCTATAGGAAAAAAAAGTCATTCTACTAGCTTGTGCCTTAAAATGAAAATCTCTAGATTCTTTTGATGTTTTCTTCTTAATTATGTTTTCTTTGTATTTGGTTTTGTTTTTTTTTTCTTTATTTTTACGCTTTTTCTTTTCATATAGTAGAATTGTTTTGCTTAAAAAAGTCCTCACATTTTTTTGGGGTCATATATGCGCAATTTCTGCATCAAATCCAAATTTCTGTCGAAATTTTTGCATAGTAAACAAAACCGTTTCTCTGACTTATTTTATGTTACTATTTTCGCTTATAAATTATGAGTGAGAGAGAGAGAGAGAGATTTGACAAAAATTACTCAACTCTCTCATCTTTGATCTCTACCCCTTTCTCCGAAGAGTTACGTTTGAAAGGAAATATTATTGTAACAACTTATAACAATAATGTTAATGACTTAATAAGTTTATTAGCTCCATATATATTGCATGGTATTTTCCAAGTATTACTCGTATAACGATTAATAGAGTTTGCACATTATTTATTAGGGAACTTGCTATACTTTTAGGTAATTTTGACAAATATTTTTTAAAAGTGTATGGGTTAAATTTTTTAACTTTTACTCTTAATTTATAACTTTTTTAGTCAAATAATTACACTAATAAAATAACATTTATCAAGAGTAAGAGATAAAAATCAAGACTCATACACTCTTAAAAGTAAATTCTCTATTTTTTTCATACTTTTTTAATTCATAAGTCGTCACATAATGAACCTATTACCTTAGAGAATGACGCGGAGAAAAATGATTTATTTATTAAAACAATTTGTTTAAACTCCAAACAAGAAGGTAATATTTAGCTATATATACAATATTCAAAATTAGTAGTGATCACAAACGTAGATTGATGACCCTTTTGACGGAGGGGCTGGAGACGACCGTCCAAGTCACTGGGCCACAACTGACGATTAACTCAACAAATTTCGGTGCGGTATCAGTGATTGACGACCCTTTTGACGGAGGGGCCGGAGACGACCTCCAAGCAAGTGGGAAGAGCTCAAGAAATTTATGCCGCGGCAGTCTGAGGTAGGATTGTTGATGGTCTTAAGCTATGTTGTCACGGAAGGGAAATATAGCGGAAGCAGTCTAAGCATATTGGAAAAAAAATGCTATTCTTTAAGATGTAAAAGAGATGCCAATAGTTGGAGGAAGCGGAGTTTTTAGGTTTGCAAGAGGGTATGCTGAGGCCAGGACTTACATGTTCAACACGACATCTATGTATGCTATTGTGGAGTATAATGTCTATGCCTTCCATTACTGATTATCTCTATATTGATCTAAATGATCATATCTGTTATGGGTTATCCTTGTTATCTTTGTTGGATGATTGATTAATATAAGAAAAAACCGCCGAATTTATTCGGGTGTAAAGAGTTTAAATTTGTACTGTTTGATTTAAAATTTAATTAATATAATTATTTAACTAAAAATGATATTAATTAAGAGTGAATGATAAAAATCTAAACCCGTACTTTTTAAAGAGTGTTTGTCTTGTGAGTGTGTTTTCCTTTTCTTTTTTCTTTAATAAATTTATATGCATGACTGCACTAGGTGTTAAAAACTGTCCAAAAACAAAATATTCGATTTATAATGGACTTGTGTCTGTCAGCTCAAACAAAACGATTGCGGTCAATGTGTCCAAGATAATTAACATTCTATATAGTCACGTTGCAATGATAATAATTTAAAAAATCTAGTTGGGAGTCTCTAATTTATTTATTTATTTTTATGGGCCACTTAACAGTCAACTGATATAAGGCCGAAGTGAAAGAAAATTACGCCCTATAAACAGTTGAAGGGATAATTTAATGATAAACCACACTAGACATTACTCTAAGGTATAGGTTTTAGAGTTCAGATTCTCACCTAAAATAAAAGTAAAATAAATAAATAAATAAACTTTAGTAAACAATGCGTTTTGTATTCTGAGGCAAGTATAATACACACCATCTCCGGAAATGACCGCCGTATTTAGAATTGATTCTGTTTTTATTTTTTCCATTTTTTGAGAAAGAAAAAATAAAAATATTTTTAAAACGGTGTTTGGCACAATAAAGACAAAAAAAAAATAAAAATAAAATTTTAATTTAGTGTAAAATAAGAGATAAATGAAAAACGACTTGTTTTTCATTTTTTGTTTTCATTTTCTCCTCTCTTGAGCATAGAGAGAAAGATAGACATTAATGAGTTTTTTTACATTAAAAATAATCTCTTAATAAAATTATCAAATACATTTTTAAAAATAATTTATGTCTGAGATTAAAAACGTTTTTATTTTTATTTTTATACAAAAAATAAAATTAGTTTAGAACGAGTTTTAAATGCGTCCGGTATAAAACAGCCGAAAAGACATGAAGAAACATGTGTCCCACACTCAACACTCCCCGTGAAAAAGGCAATTATCCTCTACCGAGACAAAGGAAAACCAACGAAAGGGCAAGTCGTTTTGTCATCAAACTATGGGTGCGTTTGGAATTGATTCCAAAACGTTTTT